CGATGGCCCACTGCCTGATCTGTCGGTGATGATCAGTGTCGTTCTCCGGTCGATCGTCAGGTACGAGTGAGTCTAAAAGATATTCTGCTGTTTGTTCTACTCCTGTGGTATATCTGTTATTAATTTTGATGTTCTGTATGTATGCAAGGTCGATTGATCTATTTGCTTTAAATTCGTGATACAAAGGTGACCACGGGCCCTCTCTATCGAGTTTATCAACAAGTTTCTGAATTAAGTTTCCCTTGGATTTTTCCACAGCAGCTCTGTAGTGGGACCTGGCAACTCTAAGAGCAATGAGAGCATTGTTGTACAAATCTCCTGTTACGTTATGTTTTTTAATAGTGTTTAATTTTCTACGAGCTTTCCGGTAGCCTCTACGTAGTTCGGCTAATCTATCATTCCACCAATCACATCTACGAGTGTTAGTGATAGATCCGCGACCAATAGTTACATCAGCGCAGTATGTAAAAGTTTCTGATAGTATTTCTGCGCTTTCCTCAGCTGATAAACTACTGCGACTGAAGTCTTTGGTATGAGTTGCAAAGAGTGAACCAAACAAAGCCCAGTTCGCACCTTTAGTTTTATATCTAAAATTATAGGGAGCCTTTTGTGGATCCTGTGCAACCCTTGGTATGAATTCGTACACGATCAAGCGGTGATCACTACAGGATGCGTCCGGAAGGACACGCCATCCGGATATCGAGACGTCGCCGCGCGTAAGCGTCACGTCAATAGAAGACTCACCCATTGGGTTGCAAAAAGTTGGTGGTGCATCGGGGGTATTGTGAATAATAAGATTCATTTCCGCAATGAAATCTTCAACCGCACAACGTCGAACCGTGTCGGTTGAACGCAACTTGCCATACCATAATGAAGATGACGCATTGACATCAGCGCCAATGATAATTTTATGTCCCACGAGGAACTGCAAGACGTAACGTAAGTGATGTAAGTGAGGATCAATAGGATGTGAATATTGAAAATAGCAGCTCACTACGTAAACCTTACAGGTAGAGGATGAGATCTCAGCAACGGCGCAGTGTGACGTCATAAGATTACGCAAAGATGTTACCGTAAAATTAGAACTTGCAACATATATCCCAGCCTGCGAACGGCAGTCAAGCTGTACTACATTACGACGCAAGTGAGCGCTCTGATATTGTTCTTGTAAAAGGACAATGTCTAACTTTTGTTCTAAAATTAAACGGTCTAATTCTGATGTAGCTATTTTATCGTTATGAAGATTTAACTGGCCTATCGAAATATTATTCATTACTTAGTAAGTTCCTCTTTAAACTTTTTTTTTCCTTCTTTTCTTTTTTTTTTTTTTTTTTTTTTTTTTTTAAACTAAGTTAAACTATTCAGTAATTGGTATTTAATATTAGCTGTTCCAGTTTTAATTTGTATGTGGCACAGTCGTATGAACCGCATCGATGGTCAGATGGTTTTTTGAACCGCTTACACTGTGCGCACGTGGGCTTAAAATCTGGTGTGTCTTTATCTGGACAAGCTCGCGTTTCGTGTGCGGCGGCGCAATTAGCACAAGTAGGGGTTTTAATGGTGCAAAACTTTTGTACATGACCGAATTGCTGACAATTTAAGCAACGAACTACTTCTATATCGTCTATGAATCTACATGTGGCCCAGTCTATATAAAGTTTATCTTTTGTGTTGGCTAGATGTTTCCGAACTGCTGCCTCTAATTCTAAGCCTATCCATTGACGCCCATTTTCTAGTTTACGATGCCTAACAATTTTGGCTGACTTAATAAAATCGTTCTCACTTAATTTTAATTCGTCCTTGATATTCTGACGGTATAAGGCTGTTAGGAAGGCACGATCTTCCATAGAACCGGGTACGTCTTTTACAATTATACGGGGCCTACGGCCTTTCGGTTTTTCTAAGCGCAACCCTACTGATTTAATGGCGTCCACAGATTCCAGTTTCTTAAGCTGCCGTTCGTTAGCTACACGTAACACGACGCCTGCCTTAGAGGTTTTTTTAACGCCTACAATTTGAAATCCCTCATCGCTCGGTTTAATAGCCTTCATGAGAGCTTGTTTTGTTGCTGACGAGGTCGCATAGTCCGCTAGGCGTTCCGTAGTGGGATAGGCAATGACACAAGGCCTAGGAACGCGCGCTTCAGTAGGTACCGGGCACGGAGCAGATTTAGGTGGTAATCGAAGCTTAAGTTTGTCCGCGTACGTTAAACTCGTTTGTTGAGTTGCGATACCCTCCATTTGTCGCTCAAAATTCGCTAACTTCGTTTCGTTGCTAGAGGATTTTATTGCTAACAAAGATACGATACCGGTAATTCGTTGAGTAATATCCATAATCGCCGTTTTATTACCTACATTCATCCGAGATCCCTGATCATTAACTAATTCATTAATTTTTGCTAAATAATCAGTGGCCTGTGATACTAAGTCACAGTAGTTGTACTCCCCACAGTTATCACGACCAGTAGGAGACGAAACATTACTACTTAAGTCCGAATTAATAACGCGCCTACGGCTACTGTCTTTCGGCGAGAAACCAGTAGGTGACATTTCGATAAATGTCCTTTTCCCGGTTGGTGTTAGAAATTCACTTGTACCGCCGGGGTCCGGCAACTCGCTAACGACCGACATAGCCAAACAAAGACACACCAAACAACAATTTCAGAAGGAACAGGTTTAAAAATAAATAACACGCAGAGAAAAATCAATATAAACAAAGGATACCTCCTACCCACTTTTAGAAAGAAAATAAATTTACTCACCAATAGTCGTAATAAAATAATTCAGCACTATATTACTGTTTAAAAACAATAAAAACTTACTGACTTTCTTTAAAACACTATACACAACCTTTAGCCGCCCGCAAGCCGAAAACTAGTCGCAGAAAAAACAGAAAACAATATTTAAATTGTTAGCACATGAAGTCACACGTTAGTCGCACGGCGCCGCGAAGGGAAGTGAATGATATATTAGTTTATTAATGTGTATTATATTTAAGTTAGAGTTACATTAAATTAATACATTTAAAATAAATCAATCGAATTTCTTGTTCTCTCTAGCACCTACCGATTTTCCTACATCACCCGAAGGTCTACTGGCAGTGAATGCCCTGGGCATTAAGTCTGCCTGTGTACAACTTGTACATTACGTTATTACAAATAAAAAATAAATATCAATTAACATGATTGTGTGTGTTAACATAAAAAGAGTCAGTCGCGTTGAAAACCTAGTCCTTAGTGACGTGTGTCGGTTAAAATTTGTTTTATATTATGACATAAAACATAATTTGCTTTGATGAATGTGAATTCCTCCGTCATTTTCTTTAAAAAGGAAACACTAAAAACAGTCGTAGACGTAAACTGTACAGCATTAATGTCGTTCATAATAAGAAAATCGTCAGTATTAAGTATTAATAAAAAAATGTGTAATTAATATGAAAAGTTTGTTTTGTTGGTTGATACCAGTCGTCTTTAAAAAAAACGTTGTTGGCTAGTTAACATCACGCTACGACTAAGGAACGCTGCGGTAAGGAACAGTGCTGCGAAATTTAATACATGTTCATTTTGAACATGTATGAAATTTCGCAGCACTGTTAGTTGTCCATATATTAACTGTTTAACGTAATTTTAAATTTTTAAGTTTTGATACATTGTACATTGGATTATCTTGCTCTCAAATAATGTGTTCTTAAATTAAATATGTTTTTTTACGGCTATGCAATTTTAAGTCGGTTGCATAAGCTGAATAAGGATTAGTTTACGTAACTTTGAGGAAGTTTGTCTAGTCAGAATATGCGACCTTTGTGGAAGCAAGATACATAGTGTACCCAAGGTGTGTGAAAACATATGTTCATAACATTTGTTTAAAATAACAAATAGCTACTCCCTAGCTCAAACCTTAAATAATCTCATGAGGAAACTTCATAACAATCTCACGCTCGGGTTGTTTTTATTTCTATTACACTTGCGTTAACGTTAATTAATGTAACATTAGATTGTTACTTGATAGCGCTTTAATCATTTTAAGTATTTGTAGTTGACATTAATTGAGGTTCATAAGTAAAAACTTCCATTTTTCATTAATATTTTTTTTTTAATTATTACGGAACTTCAATTGTTTGTCTTTGAAAATAATAAGCAAAAATTGAATTCTCGCTAAACATAAACTATAAAAACTCAACGGACTCAACTCAACTATTATAAGGACTCTGAGATGATATTTACGTATGCTAAATTAGTTTTATGTTGAAAAACGTCATGCACTGACATAAAAAACGTAGGCTCTCTTAAGATCCCATAGTTAAAAAAAACAGGAGAAATTGACTAACTTAAATTATTTAATTTCACTTTTAATTACTTTCTTTAATGGTATTAGTGAATTAAATATTTTAAAAGTTAAAAAATATATCTTTATTATCTTTCATATGACTATTTTTTTTTTGTAATTCTATTAAGGCTACCAACTTTCAATTGACTGAAAAGAAGCCTCACTCGCACGAACTTATTCAGATGTTTTCGTATTTACTTGCCGATGTTAGAATCTATCACTGCCAAGCAGCCTTGTCATTTAAAATCTCGTCAATGCTATAAAAAGCTATCTAAATCAATTGGTGTTTAAAAAAACCTTTAAAATTTTGTAACTCATGAACATTAATAGGTAATATATTATACATGCGTATACAGTGACCTGCTTTTAATTAGTTACTTAATTGTTGGATCTTTTGGGTCAGTTCATTCTTTGGGGCAATTTCATAATTATTACTAAAGTTTTAAGTTTTGATAGTCGCCATTTTTTTTAATTCATGTTTATTCTTATGAGTTTACAATAAATTATTATAACGAAATGTTTTATAACAAGTTTATGATGTCAATTTATGTCATAAAATCTGTATTATAGGATGACCATGATAATTTTAAAAGTTATTGATATGACAAGAACCGCATATACAAAAACTCGTGTAAGAACGCATATATTTATAAATAATGATAAAAAATAACTTACCTCTTAAGAAAGTCGGTGTATTCGGCCTGGCGAATGAGCCCAGTGCGCATCATGATGGTCTGGAAACACTGACGCTCGATGGCCCACAGGCGACAGTCTGTAGCCGCCTTGATAGTGGCTGTACGTTTACAGTTGTACAGGATGGCCAGCTCGCCGAAGACCTTCCCCGGAGCCATCGTACTGAGGTACTTGTTCTCACGGGACACTTCCACCCTACCCTCTGTTGAAGATACGTAACTGGTTATTCATTATGTATTTAGAAGACAGATATGTATGAACATATGTTGCATTAAAGGTTTGAATTATTTGAATTTCAACTTCTACGTTTGTTACCCTTTGCCTAACAGTAGGGCAGGCCATGTCCATACTGGGATCATGAAACGAAAATTTTATACTCGTATTATAACCTAATATATAAATTTAAGTGGTGAAGTACGATTAGTATGATCTTGATAAAAATAATTGTATAGATATTGTACTGTATTCAGCTGCTTTCAGTTTCGCACCATTGTAATTTTCTGACGTTTTCTAACAACCCTGACTAAATTTATCTAAATTATAAAATTACGAATATATTGTAAACTGTATCTTTTTATAAAAAACAAAGATTTTATAAATTTAATCTCAACAGAAACAAGAATCGTCGACCTAATTTTTACTCTAAATTTAAATAGTTTTAAATATACACTTTTAAGAGAATGAAGTAAAAGTAAGTAATTACAATTAAACATTTAATTCTTTAATACATTTTTATTAAAAGTGCCCCCGTTTTGACTTTTATGTACAAATTGGACATTCTTGAAAAAATCTGTACCTACTAATAACTATCTGTTTGTATTTATTAATATAAACTTTGCTAGCTATCTAAAACGATTTCTCGACAGTTAGTACTATATTACCGATTTGAGTGATCCAAAACCCTTATACCGGGAGAGAGTGACGTTAACTTAAAGAATCCATCAATGGGCGTTAATAGTCCACTGCTGGACATAAGCCTCTCCTTAGAAAAGAGATTTTGGCCTACTATAGACGGGTTGGTAAAGGGCTTATGCAAAGTTTTCCTTATCTTTGCGCTGTTATCCTGCGTAGTTTGCTCCCTTAGTTGGCTCTTACGACACCCACGAGGTAAATAGGGGGGGGGGTCACCGACTTAAAGAGTCCAATGAATAGTAGTCTGCCGGGCTTAATTCAAGTGCCACATTCAATGGCCGTTATGACCAGAACAAAATTTTGTGTGTGGATGTAAGAGTACAGTAAGTACATATTCAGATCTCTTACATCCTCTTCATAAAAAGATTCGAACAAAGAAAAAGATAAAGTATGGCAATAATGTTGTACATATTAGTAAATAAATTAATTTGGTACATCCAAGCCAGTTTTGAGACCAGATGTGGGGCAAATAGGGTTACCACTAACATTAATTATGATAAGAGCGTTGATTGGTTTACTTGGTAAGGTGCGTTATCTCAACGCTCAACGCAGTATCTGTGTAAAGCCTTAATGTTATGAACACTAAACAATATTGGTTTTAAGGCTTTATAAGATTTAAATTGTCCGAAAAATTATATACTGAGAGTTTAAACATTTAACTTTAATGTTGAAAGAGAGTTACTATTCGTATATATAAAGACAAAGGACGGAAACGAAAATAATTTCCCCTAGCGATAGAAAAATAACTTTTCTTGCAGCTAAGCCGCGGCAAAAAGTAAACGAGCAAAAATATTATTTAAGTGACACCTGTTCGTATCATCTCAATAGTAGTAGAAACATGTGACACAGTTGTATTAAGGCAATTTATTAAGGGAACACCTGAAGACCAACACAAATCTAGACTTTTAAAAACCCTAATTGTAGTCAATGAACATGACAGAACAAAACATCATTTGCGACTTGGTAAAGAAACAATAAATGTTTACATTTCTAGTTCTTATCGCTTACGCGGTAAAGATTACAATGGTCTGCAGCTGTTCCTATCCACCAAGAACAAATGAACAACATAAGTGTGAGAATAAATAAGGAGGTATGTGAAAATACCTGCTTGTTTTATCAGTATTCGTAAGTACATGTTTACATGTACTTAACAATTATATCGATTGATGAATAGTAGTATAACCGGATACAATACAACCAGTTCAAGGTTTTATAGATATTGTATATATGTCGACACAAAAATAATCGTCAGCTAATCAAGACAATGCAATCAACTCCTTTATAACGAAACTAGGACTAGGAAATATTTGTTGACATGTGCATTATAACAAAGAGATTAGGCAATAATCCATTTACAACTACAAATATGACAGTTCTTAACACAATACAATTTTATGCCTTTGTCTTGAAATTAAATCTTGTAACTGCACAAAGTGTTACACGAAAGGGATAAACTAGGAGGGCAAATTAAAACAGCTGAATCGATTTTGATCGGAATCAATTCGGAATACCAACAGGAAATTACTTGAGATTTACCTACTTCTGATTATAAGTTACCGTTTCTCATACAAACGCACACAAACACAAATGAAAATGCAAAATTAATATTTTATTATAAGTAATCTTGAACTAGTTTTAGAATGATTTAATGTTAATAGCAGCCATTTGACTGTTATAAGAAATATGTATGTTTTCTTTTTTTTAATACTTATATGATATTATTGAGTAAGTATTAGATAATAGTTTTATGGTTAGCAGTTGCGGTTATATAATTTTTACAGAATTAAACTATTAAAGACTGTGAAGCTTTCTGCCCCTTTGCTTGAACTTAGAAAAGAAATGAGACAGATGCCTCACTGACATTGATACATGCATTGATTTACTTTTAGTACAATTAATAAATAATAAAACGTATGAAACTATCGGTTTCTTCGATTAGTATTCTCCAAAAGTATTGTAGAGACAAGGCATTCCAACATAAACGAACTCATCAGCAGACAACAGTAAGTACTTCACCTTTGGACTCTAAGGCATATAATAACTCCCATAAGACGCTGAGATAGTTTAACAATGGTGACTTGGTCTGACGTTGGACTGACTTAGTCTTATTAATCCAGTCACATAAATACTGCCTTTAATAACAATACGTGTTTTATAAACAGTGCAATGTCGCGTGTGTTTACAGTTACAGCCTATTGAGAGATAGGTCGATGGTTACGCTATTGTCCTGGCACATTTCTATTGTCTAATAAACACGTATTCCCGTTATCCGCACGCTATACATACGCATGTTCCACTATTTGACACCTGATTTTATTGTTACTGTGCGATAGAACACGTGAATAATTAATTATCAATTAGCACTGAAGACCTTTCATATGTTTTTAGCCCTATAAATGTATAGTATTGACAAGAAAATCAAAAGAAAATGGTTTATATATGTTTAAAAAACTACAATTTTTTGTTACAAATTTTTAAATTACCTGAAAATCATCTCAAGACTCACTTCCTGACACGGTACATAAGTCAATAAAATTACAGTTCAAGTTCAAGACACACAGGGCCAAGTCTAGTTAGTATTATTCCTTCAATGTCAACAATGACCCGCAATTTTTTCCAATTGGCATAATGGCTAGTCCTACTGATCCGTCATAATTTTACTATGACGCTGGTCTTTACAATACTTGAGCTAGACAAAGAACGACAGTTTGTGTTGAAGTAGTACCGATTAGTAAAGGCGGGACCCAAATAATATAACAATTATTAATTCGATCTGAATGAAACAGATTCTTAAGCAGAAGCAAACCTCATTACTTACACTACCAGTCATTCAAAGTCTCATCAATTAAAGTCTGTAGTCTCTTTGGAGGTTCATCGTTAAGAGGCCACTGCTAGACATATGCCAATACTTAAAAAAGAGGTTTTGGAGGTTAAAATGAGATTATAAAAATATATCTAACAAACGGGAACTTTGAGTGTTTTCACTGACCTAATGTCTACATACTATTTACTTGTTACTTTACTTTGTTACCTTGTTGACAAGTTCTGTTATCTGGGGTCCACCTTGTCGAACAATCTGTCGCTCGATGCGGAGATTGACATTCGTATCGGCAGGGCGGCTACCACCTTCGGGCGGTTAAGTGCAAGAGTGTGGCAAAATAAATACTTAACAACAAAAACAAAGCTTATAATTTGCCAGGCATGCGTATTCTCCATGCTCTTGTACGGCGCTGAGATTTAGACCACACACGCAAAACAGGAACGTCGACTTAATTCGTTCTATATACGTTGTCTCTGGAACATCTTGGAGATCTCATGGAAGGACAGGATCACCAACGTGAGAATCTTATAAATTGCACAGCTATCCAAGCTCACAGCGCTGTTAAAGCACAACCGCTTGCAATGGTTGAGGCATGTGCCCCGTATGGGCTCCTCGAGGCTACCTCGACGTGTCTTGCTTGGTGCTTTAGCACACAAAAAAAGGGATATTGGCAGACCCATACAGCAGTTTAAATACTGCGATCTCATTTGAGAAAGACCATATGGCTTGGGAGAGGATCGCTGGAGATCGCGATGAATGGAGGAGGCGTGTGATCGATGGGCGCGCAGTTCACGACCACATCTGGTTCCAGAAGTTGGCAGAAAGGAGAGTGAAGCGTCAAGAGCTAACAATGACCCACAAACCGGTTTTAGGTGCAGGGTATGCGGTAGAACCTGTCGCTCTAGAATTGGATTACATAGCCACGAAACAAGGTGTATGGCTACGGAACAGTGACTAAATCGTCTGGAATGGACGTAAGCGGCCAATGATGATGATTTACTATGAGAAAAGATCTTATTCTATCAATAGATATATAACGAGAAACTATCGATCGTCATTACTATGACAATACATACGTACCAAATTTCCTATTTGCAGCTGTATCAAATTGTTTTATTCATACACACAAAGAATTTAATATAACAATAGTAGTAATACCTATCATAATATGTACAATATTTGCACATTCGACAAAGCCAAGCGCCAAGGACGTATCGACTCTTTGACATAAACCGTTTCATAGCATCAAATATCAATACTGCTACTATTTGACTTTGTACTTTATAGTGACATATATATTATGTTTTCTACTGTTTACAAAGACTTTATATATGTAAATTTGATACCTAGTAGTTTAGTAGGTAAACACTTTAAGGCCAATCTCAATGGCAAAGTTATATTTTGGTATAAGTAATATATTTACAATTATATCTAAAAGAGAGCACTGTTTTAGGAAGTGTTTTTATATTAAATGCATTAAAGAACTTTCTATAACCGACTATTTTAGAATCAACACACGAAAGTATCGAATGAAAGTGAGGTGACGCATAATCTACGCAACATATGTTTTTATTTATCAAGAAGGTTTATTACGAAATATGTTTCTTTTGACATACGAGATTTACAAAAACACTGTTATAAATATTATTTTTATGTTCCTTTATAATATGTATTTGTGTATGTCGGCATAATAAATGTCATAGCTTTCTAGATATGTCTATAATATGTATACTTCTTAACTTTTTGTAATTAAACTAGTTTTTACTTTTTTAAAGAATATATTTTTATTCTATTTATTTTCTTTTGTGCAAAAAAAGTTAGTGTTCATAGGGAGAGACTTTATTTTTTACATGTACTCGAATATTATTATGTATTTTTAATTGTATGAATACGAATTTGAAAAAAATGATCTCTAATTACAAAACCCTTTAACTGAACATAAAGCTAAACATAAAGAACTAATATTATAAAGAACGGTTTTAGTGATTGGCTTTCTAAAATGACATCATGACATAAATATTTAAAAGATAATGTTTTAAAATTAAAATTTAATGTATGTTGCATAAAATGCGTCTACGTAATATTAAGACAAAGTATACGAGTATCTTTGTAAATAAAATTTTACAAATACATTGCTTAATACATTCTAAAATATAAATTTTAAATCAAACGTATGAGTCACTTTTCCACTGAGTTTTACCTAAATAATACCTATCAATATACTCAAATAGTATTATGATAGTGGCATAGAACCTTAAAAAAACGAAAAAAATTAGGTCCCACAAGCGTAGGTATATGGTGTTTGTAAAAAACGTTAAAACGCTAATGGCCTATCATTCTAGTGGTTATCAATCCTGACTGGTAAGCTGGGGGTCGTAGATTCAATTCCCACCCAGAACAAATAATTGTTCTATGTCTAGGTATAGTAGTATTCTATAGTATGTATGTATTTGTCTGACACTGTCCAGGAGGTGACAAATTAACAATACAGAGTGCCACTACCCATTCATCAAAAATATATAAATATGTCACCACCCCACACCCCACCACAGGAATACAGAGTATTACCACCCCTATTCATCCCGTGGGTGTCGTAAGAGCCGACTAAGGAAAAAAAACTACGCAGAACAACAGCACTGCAGAGAGATAGAAAACTTGACACAAACCCTATACCAACCCGTCTGGCCAGCGTGGTATAGTAGGCCAACACCTCCTTTCTAAGGGGAGGCTTATGTCCGGCAGTGGACTATTAAAGGCTATTGATGATGATATAAATATGTATGTTTATCAGTATTGTGATTGACATAACACTATATCTGCTTAATTTAGTATCAGACGGCAGTGTGTGAGATGTCTTGAGTTGATATTACCTTCTATTATTTGTTTTTATTATATTGGTATTTAAAGGTCGTCGTCCGTGTGGTGACGGATTAAGAATACGGAATTTCACCACCACCATTCATCCCGTGGGTGTCCCTTAGTCGGTACTAAGGGAGCAAACTACGCAGAACAACATCACTGTAAAGAGAAGGAAAACTTGAAACAAACCCTATACCAACCCGTCTGGCAAGCGTGGTATAGTAGGCCAAAACCTCCTTTCTAAGGAGAGGCCTATGTCCAGCAGTGGACTTTTATAGGCTGTTGATGTGATGTGATGATGTGATGATGATTGAAGGTTCTACTGTTTTAAAGCTTACTGATACAAATTGATACCTGGTCGAAAGTATTTCTAGGCAACTTGGTTTATGCATAACGCGGGGCGAGGAGTTCGACGGTGTGCACATATTTACGACCCTTTTATTGTTAGTTTACTATTGTGACAATAAAACAACATTTACTTCCAAATACAGACTAGAACACACTGTATACACTAGATCTCTAGATGGTATAATACTGGACGTGATGGAGTAATAGTTAAGGGACACATAGTTTTTCAATCATTTTTAACTAAAGAGGATGTATATAAAGTTCCTTAATTAACAAATAGGAAATCAAGTGTTATTGTTTATTAATAGGTAGTATTCCATGTTCCGGCTTTACAAAGACAGTAAATAAATACTTACATGTAAGTATTTATTTACGTATATTTTTTAGGAAAAAAATTAAAACAGAAAGAAATAAACAAACTGAAGGTTGCTCAAACGTGAACGAAGAATTTTAAATTATACGTGTCATTACAATTATTTATGAGCAAATGACTAATTACCACAGGTTACTTTTCAATAAAAACTTGCTTTTAAAATCTTGAACAAAATCAGTTCTAGAACCAGACATGAAGAATAGATACGAATATTCAAAAAGAACCATATCACGTTATGTAGTTTATGGTTATATACAAAATAAGGCTTTTTTATGGTTGGTAATAGACAACTTAAGCATCGTCCTTAAGTTGTTACTTTATATCTGTGTGCATAAAAACGAATACATAAGAAAACTCATTGATAAATTTCCTTCAATAGGGAATGTGTATTTACTAATACCATTAAATCGTCATAAAGAAGGATGTCAGTATTTTACACTCAGGGACCTTAATTTGTTTAATTTAAATTTTTCATTAACTAAAATTATAATTAAATTTCCTCACGATATTTATACTTAGCAAGAATGAAGAACCGAAGAAGTACTTAGTAATGTTGAATACATTTAGTATCGTCTATATATAAACTTTAATTGTTTCTTTACTTGCATCCTGTACTTACTACGAGTCACTGTGTCAAACAATTTAACGGTTCTACAACGCCTTGCCTTAAAATGTATTGTATGCCATACATATGTCCATTGCCTTTTAGGAACGTTAAAGCCTGAGAACTGTTAAAGCTTGTGAGACTGTATTCATGTGAATATATTTACTATCACTTTTGTAATTTGTAGACATCTCCTTAGAAGTGCTTGGGGCAACTAGAGAAGCAATATGAAAAGATAAAAGAATTTAAGGAAACCATAAACAATTACATAGGTGAAAAAAACTTTATCAAAAAATCATTAGTCACGAAAAACTTAACAAATGTAAAATACGTAAATGTAATGTTGTTCATTCGATCATCCAATTATCGTGAATTTTTAACCCCGGAAACATGTATTTAGAAAATAGCTTACTTTTACACGACCGAAGACTTGGGTAAAACGCTAGAGGTACATAAATTCAACATGTTAACTTAAATTTACCAGTTTTCAACCAGTTTATATATTTGCGATCGATGACGACCGTTGGATGTTTGATAGCTATATAAATTATAATAACATTCATGCTTGACTTAAACCAAATGTAGGACAGACAGTACGAATCACGTAAACTCTATATATTATATATATTTTAATTAATATGCCAGTCTCGGTCCAACATACCGAAGCAATTGAAAATGGACACACATCTGTTGTTTTTCTGACATTTTAAGTCTGATCTACTATAGGGACGTAAAACAAAATGTTTAATTTCACATTTGTGAATGCGATTATTATTTTTAAATAAGGGATATTTAAAAAAGATAGCAAATATACTCCAAAACTGGTGGTGTAATATAATCCAAGACTGTGGTAAAAGATTTACAGAAACTGTTACATGTTACACAACAAAAACCCTTTTGCACTTATAAAACAATTCAGCTGTTTTGAGGCCTATGTATGTAGTAGTGAATGTCTTTCGGCTGAGATGACGATGATTTCTTATATGTTTCAAATATAAAGTTATATCCATAGTATTTGTGTAACATCTGTGACTAAGTGTCCAAACAAGCAAAGGTTTAAATGTTGAATTTATACCGTACTTACTAAAACATTAGAACCAATAAAACTATTCAAACATACAGACATAAAGCCATAATTATGATAATCTTATAAGAATTAACTTAACTGCAGAATATACAAACGCAGAGGTAAGAATTAAGTTTAATAAAACATTGCGTCATACATTTAGGTATTTATCATTCACATTACGTCATCGAAGGTATCACCCGCACGAAGACCTCGAAATTGATTTGTTGACATAACATGTTACATCGATCAACTTCAGTACATCCGAGATCAAAATAAACTTCTCGATAACAACTGCGATAACAGTTATTTAGATAGGCCGGGTGTTAAATAAAGATATAAAAGAAATTATCATTTTACCTGTGTCTCCATTCTGATGTTTGTCTGCTGTCTTGACATTGGTGTCTTGTAGACGAGTTACGTCTAAAACTATACCCGCATCTAAAGACGACTCAGTGGCGTTACTGTCACGCTGACAGAGATTTCCCGTCCTTCTCTTCCTGGTCCCATAGGTATGAACAGGCACTATTAACTTAGGTCTAGGTATCGAAAAATCTGAGTCCGAACTACTAGAAGAGCTTTTTGCACTTCTCGAATAAACACCATTAACGTTTGTAATACGTTCTTCACTAATACTTTCTTTCTGTTTCTGAGTTCCAAAAGACATAATGTCATTATACCTATCATATCTATCATCACTTTTTACTCTTACGGTACTGTACAGTTTTCCATATTTATCGCGTTTAATTTGTTTCGCAACGGCATTTTTAATCCGATAGTCACTTTCTTTAGACAAATCATTAGAGTGTAACCCATTAGCAATCGGTGGCACTGGTTGAGTTTGACTTCCGTTGTACATTTCGTACTGCATTAGCGTCAATTGTTCGCTGGGTGATAGATTTCTTTTCGGTTGGGTGACAGTGACGCCATTATAAATTTCTTCAGACTTCACTGTATCGAGATAAGCTGGAAGAGGCGCCCGCCCTTCGCTTTTTACTCTCAATGATTTAGAACGAAAACTAGGCTTATTATCTTCGATGCGTCCACTTTGTTCGTTCGTCGGCTGAATTGTGAGTTTAGGAAGTTGATCGCATGTAGATAACGACTGTTTAACAGGCTGCATGTATAAGCCTAAATCTTCCGCTTCACAATTAATATCTAACTCCTGTTTTACATTCTTGGACTTTATTGGAGCTAAATCTAATGTGGCCATTGAGTTTATAATTTGATACATAGTATTTCCATTTTGTTTAATAGGCTCATTTTGAATATTTTTTTCTCTTTTTGTATCTTTCTGTATTTGTTTTATCTTATCGCTATCAGTATCATTATTTTGCTGACTAACTCTCGAATAGTATTCGTAATATGATTCAGACGAGGGGTCTGGTGGCACCGGGCCGGGATCCGGTAGCGGGTAATAGGTCTTTTTAGAATCTACCTTTCTTTGTCGGTGTGCATATTTTAAAGATTCCTTACGTTGTGGTGGCACAGGTAGCTGTTTACTGTTACTAGCGAATGATTCGATATTCCATTCTGTAAAGTTCCTTCGTTTTACTCTTCTTAGCGTGGACGGCCTGTACCCATTTGGCATATCCTTAAAACTATAACTATGTTTCAATTTGTTTTGAGCGATGAGATCATTATTGGCTCTCGCCTTTTCTTCTATGTTTTGTTGGTATTTAGCTAGTTGAGATATATTTTCATTAGGAACATCTTTCGAGTAATTATATCCATTATCTTCTAAAGAATATATTTTGCTATCATGGTATTTCTCTTTTTCGGGAGTGCGCCCAATATCTCGACAAGACTTACTCCTAGATATGGAGTTAAATTTAACACTGTTTGTACCATCATTGTCCTTTAATTTATTTAGATTTCTTGCACCGATCCAGTTTGCGGCATAAACTAAATCCATAGTTCTGTCCGTAATGGACAGCCATGGGTCCTCCATGACCGCTTTTCCTGGGTAATGCTTGATTTTCATAATGTAGCCGAATTGTGAAGTATCCTTTTACTTGCATCACTTTGAAGCCAAGTAGAACGTAGACGAATGATCGTAATAATATGTGACAATATTAATTCCATTTTCCTTTAGGATGAATGTTATCTATCAGTTAGAGGTTACTTTGCTCTGCTCACTGACGTCATTAGGCTAAATGTTAATGTAACGCACTTGATTTTTGTTAGTTTCTTATAAAACTTAAATGACGCAAGACCACTGCAAAATTTTATACTTAATACAAATACTGCAGCAAAACTAGACCAATATTACATGTACACACCTACCAACATTTTGTCAAATAAAAAACAGGGATAATAACGGCTCGATACCATACCGACATTAACAAGGTTCGAAATATTTGAGGTAATTCATTAAATGCTTAAAAGCTTTCGTCCGATTACCATATTATTATTTCATATTACAGGTACCCACGTTTATACTTTCATGTACATATCTGTATCTCAACACGCGATTACTTTTGCCCCATTTAAAATCTACAGAAGTAATAATAGATCTATTTTGGAAAAATGTACAACTTTCTTTAGTTTAAACTTGTCGAGACATTAACCATCTCACAAACAGAGGCAGGTAGTTGGTGTGAGAAATTGAGATAATTACATAAAAATGCAGTGGAGTAAAACGTCTTAATTAGAAAGATGTACTAATTGCAAGGCATGATTTCATAACTTTTAACGCTTTTTTAAATATAATATTTATAAAAAAATCGCTTCCTACATACTTATAAAAGGTTTTGCTTATTTATTTTGCACCTACTGCAAAAAATGGATTAAAGGATTATATTAGCTGTCCGATTTTAATTGAATGACCAACTTATCTGGTAAAATTTAAATTATAGGTACATACGTTTATAAGGGCAAAGCGACACTGGACCTTGCTCAAGAACCCATTTTTACTAGGAAGTATTAACTAACTAGCTATTAGACCTCAAGAGTGCAAAGGCGAATGGAAATGGATCCACATTGAGAAATAATTAGATAATAGGCGGTGGCAATTGGCCTATAGACCACTGTGTATGGTATGTTTGTTGTTATTGATATTAACGCACTTTCACTGCGGAACTTTATGAGAGCATAAATTTAAAACAGATGTTCATAAAGATATGAAATGGAAAGTAGGGAAGTAAAATATCCGTAATCGGAGAAAGATAAAAAAAATATAAAAACAATGTAGGTGAAGAAAACAATAACAAATGATATGTGTAAAGCGGTAACAAATTAGAAACAATCATTAAACGGCTGATCGAGTTAGTAGGAAACGATTTCTAAGACATCAACCGATAGGCGAGTTGAAACAAGTTCATTGGTCCACATATCCAGTCGGCTGGTCAGTGATGATACGTGAGAAACATATCCAGGAACTTTAGAAATTGTGGTCAACACATACTTATTCACAATTTTATTACAAGATGAATTATTTGCGATGAAAATTGCCGCAAATAAAACGAAGTGCAGCTAGTATGGGCAGAGTATACCTAGGTATAACAGAATATAAATATGCATTCAGCGAATCGTTTGGTGTTTACAAAATAAGAAATATTGCATGAAGTATGCGTGAACATAACTATTACGTATTTATTAACTTGCCAGATGCAAGAAATTTTGGTCTACTAAGTTGAAAAGACTTTAACGAACTTTGAAAACCTCTTAGATTTATGGTATACGTATACGAATTTATCGTATATTTAAAGTAGTACTTTTAATATAAATATATAATTGTTTTTACGCCCAACTATATTATGAAATGACATTAACAAAACAGCAGAAAGGTGAAACAATAAAAAACAATAGTCATCTATTTGTTATGCTATGCATTTGTAGCGGTTAAAACCTTTGACTCATCAATTCCATACAAAATCATTTGTATACATTAGTCAGTCGAAGGAATATCACGCGTTAAAATTTAGAACTAACGGTAAGGTCCACCAACAATGAACAATAGTGACCCTTTCTCCTATCAAGTGACATACAAAATAGTATTTACAACAAAATAAAATTAAACTAAAGTAACCGATCTGATTATGTTATTTAATTTTAAAGATGGAGAACAATAATAATACATGAGAATGTGACGTATGACAATATAAAATTACAAACAAAACCATCAGTGACATTTCCATTTCGAAATATCTGTATTGTTATAACCGCTTTCTACGGTCCGCTGATGAGTAAAATAATATGAATGGATATTATTTGATAACATCATAATATGTGCGGTATTATTAACACGCAAGAGATTTAGCCATAGACTTTGACTGATACTATCTGGTTTGTTTAACTTTCTAATCATTGTTTGAATATTAAAACGTGACAATGGATCGGTGCGACCCATTAAATCGATTAATATTAAGTGATAAACAAGTTCCAAAGTATGCTACTATGATTGCAAAAGTGTAACGAGGCGTGAATGTATCGCAATATTTGCAATACATAAATGTATCGTTAATTGTTAAACCTGTACATGATTAAGTTATTACAATATTAACCACCTAATGTAGCTGTAGTTGGGGCAAAACTAAACAAACTTATAACCAATTATTATTATTTAAAAAAGCAATAACAAGAAAGTGATGTCATAGTGTTTGACCAAACACATGCATAGAAAGCTTAAGACTCGAACATTAATATGCTAAAATATCTTCACAGTGAAGACAACGTTCCGAAATACTTTCACGGCACACGGGTAGTGCACGCAAATACGAGAGGCTTGCAATAACCTTGTAGTGCATGAGAGCCTCGCAATGTTACTTTCAAATTATGAATCGGACGAAAGGACACTATGTTAAAAATATTCATAAACTTAAAGATCATGAACTTAAAATTTTGCTGCAGCATTTTGTGTAGTATGTTAGTAGCGTATATAATCCTTTTTCGATGAGCGTGCAGTAAATATGTATCCGCCGAAATATTGCCATTTGCAAGACAGCTGTATATTTGGCAAAAGCACTTTTGTTGTTTAATCACAAAAACACAACACCATATTTACCATAGTTCTTTCAAATCTTTTATTTACTTATATTAAACACACAAAACTAGATCCGTATCGCGTTTGACTGTAAAATCGATCGGGATTATTTTATATTCGAAACGCGTGACATTAGGTACGCGCAACCAATCACGACAGCGCCGCTCCGCTTACTGCTCTACTCCGATCCGATCAACTCCTGCGCAGATGCAGCCGGCTGACGATGACGGTGTGTGCGAGCGAGTCGAAGCGCATGTAAGAATAGGATAGAACACATACTTACCTGAATAATAAAAGCTCCAAGCTCACAAATGGTTGGCGAGGTAGAAAACCTTCCAATTTTGATCCTAGAGATATTGTAGTAAGAGTAGAACAATAAATGTAGACGAAACCGGACATGACCAATAACATACAAAATTCTAATAATAGTAGTAGCATAATCTAAGGCTACTGAAATTTTTATGGAAATACAAAAAAAAAATTCAAATTCAACTCGAAAGGAATTTAATTATTTTTTTGTAACCTATTAACTGTCGTACATGTGAAGCCATTTTTTTTTTGCGAGTAGAAGGTACCTAACATTAATGACCTTTTTCAATGAGACTTTTAAACACCCAGCTGTGCGGATGTTCAAATTGGAGCAACACTAGATAAAAATTAAACGTATCTAGTAATAAAATAACCATTAATGAGTGAAGTGAAGGCGAATGAGGTAAGTCTACAAGGTATCGCTCGTGACCGAATAGCTAGCAAGCAAAATGTAACGTATTGAAGGTCAGGCCTACAATGCAGTCTGAAAAGTCATTAGTCTCAACGCCTCAGACGTAATATAAATAAATAATTAATAATTTTGGACATCTGACACACAACGCCATCTAGTTTCAAACTAAGCAGAGCTTGTACTATGAAAGCTAGATTGACTGATAGAATACTTATATACTTTTTTCTTTGTAAATACATACCATACATTTTATACATATAAAACACCCAAACGCCGAAACAAATATTTTCTGATCACACAAACATTTGGTCCGAACTGGGAATTCAACCTAAGACCTCGGTGGCACAGCAGACGCATACGCTACCACTGTGCCACCCCAGGCAAAGTTATGATATAAAATATATCATAATATGAAAGTCATCGACGCATTGATATGTCTACCTCAGATGAATATATAAATGTATTTTTGAAGGTAATAGAATAAAATGATATTTTAACTAAACGTTAAAGCTTGTTTCTTACGAACAAAAAGTTAAAAGTACTTAACAAACGTGACTAATTTAATATAATTATGTAGCATTATGTTCTTAAAATGGGTTCAGTGAAATTACTTTCTGCTGGAAAAAGAAAAGTGAAACAACAATCTACAGCAAATCAAACAGAAATCAGTTACAGATTAAATTGGTGAAACAATGAAAGAGAAAATTATTCAATAACGGAATAGATTTTGTTGCATTTAGTATAGCAAGAACAATTCTATGGATAACATTACATGAAGTTTAAATTTATGTATTCGTATAAAATTGTTTTTATAACTGGCAGTAACTGTACTAAGAAGATAGTTAGCTGTGTATAAATCACGTAACACCTCTTCAAAACCTGTTATTATGATCTAAGATTTTAGAACTAAAATGTATATAGTAATAAGTTCTACAGTTTTATTTCCTCGGTGTAACGTACCATTATGGGTGCAGAACATAACCGCTTGGTTGGACATCATAAAGATAATATCTATAAAAATTTATACATTTCTCGTCATCATAAAACTTGCCATACAGTCACTGAAATCATTTGTGAATTTGTTTTTTTTTTATTTATGGCTTTATATTTTGTGTCTTCTGTTATATCTATAAATATAGTTACAAAATGTTATAAGGCTTAACTGTTGAAGTATAACTTAGATTTTTTATGAAATAGGGCCAAACCATCAGACGGGTCCCCTGATGGAAAGTGATTACCGCTGCCCATTGCCGCCTGCCTCAATGACAAGCGCCTACGT